ATGCATTCCAAGTTGCCTGTCCGCTCGAGCAGACATTCCCCCGCTCGAGCGGAGAATCCCTGGTTCCAGAAGTTTTGGTCGCCTGTAAAAGTACTGAGATGTGTGATTTCGCGCTCGAGCGGGTTCTCTAGCGCTCAAGCGGACCTTTGCTATATTTCGCGCATATTTTGCTGAAGCCGCTCGAGCGGGCTGTTTGGAGCTCGAGCGGAGATCGCGGGACAGATTCTATAAATTCGCATATTGGGTCAGATTTTATGATTACTACTCCAGATCTTCTTTTTGGGTTCTAGGGTTTATATCTGGGGATACTTTGTGAGTTTTCTTTGATGTTTTATTGAGTATTCAACTCATGGTTTAAAGAGAGTACATCAAAGGTTTTGTTTACTTACAAAAGAGAGAGTTGTTCTTCGGTGGATTCTGAAGAATTCGAGCCTGAAGCTTTGGTGGATTCCGAGGTGGCTCATCGTAAAGACAATTCCGAGGTGAAGACGGGTTGGAAGAGACACATAGAGGTTGGTTCAATTAGGCGTGGATTTGCTATGTAATTGAGAGTATACCTGTGTAATTCCTTTAAATCTTCTTAGTGGATTGTTTTGTATCTGTTGCCCGTGGTTTTTTTTATCACAGTTGGAGGTGTCCAATTGTGATTTTTTCCACGTAAAATCGTTGTGTCTCTTTGTCTTGATTGTTTGATTGGGATTGTTATATTCTGCTTAAAATTGATACATAATCACAAATCAACATCTAGGGGATTTCTAGATTTTTCATCAACCATTGAATTTTAGTCATTGATAAATCTAAACCATTGAAACTCTTTTCAATCTCAGCCATTGTTTTTAAATTGGACAAATCTCAACCATTAAAGATAGTTTGTGAGAGAGACATTTTCAAAAATAAATCTGAGCCATTGCTTTTTAAATTAGATAGATCTAAACCATTAATTTCAAAGACATTTTCAAATGAACACTTCCATTGTTATATAGATTTGACCCTCAAGGGGTAATTTGTAATTTCTCAAACTTCAGGGGAGAATTTGTATTTTTACCAAACCTCAAGGAGGTGTTTGTAATTTGTCCAAAAAAATTCAGAAAAAGATGCAACTTTCTTCTTCTTCTTCTTCTTCTTCTTCTTCTTTTTTTTTTTTTTTTTTTTTTTTTTGGGGTGTGTGTGTGTGAAAATGAGCCTTAATTCATTAATCCAGTCCGGATAGATATAATTTGCGAGTTAAGAATTTAATCTACAATATATTATTATATAAAGTACATGTTGGATTTGGTATTGAGACTTGAAAAAGATTGTTTTTATCACTTGAATAATATACATATTATAAAATTAATTTTTTAAATTTTTACTTATTTAAATTGTGCATGCATTCAGCCGCTAATTATCTATAATTCATGTATTTTTTTTAATACATCACTAAGTTCTAAAATACTTATTTTGTTTTATTACTATTTTAAAATATTAATAGGTGACAAAAGAAAACGACTTATAGATTAATAAATCTGATCCACAAAACCGGCCCATAAATTCCCTTTATCGAAACCCAACTCAAATCTCAGCCCATACGTCTATCCAAAATTAGAGTTGTTCAAAAAAAAAAAAAAGTTGGATTGAACTAAAAAATTGAACCAAATAGTATGTTTTGGTCTATTTTTTAAAACCGATTTGGTTCTGATTTTGAAAAATAATAAATCGTAAGATATAATTTAATTCCCAGTTTTGTGATCACAATTCTGGTTTAAAACTAAGCCTCCGTTTGGGAAGTGGGTTGGCTTTTTAGCTTTTTGACTTTTTTGACTATTTTAGCCTGGGCTAAAAAGTTTGGTTTGGAAAGGACTTTTTGGCTTTTTGACTTTTTTGACTTTTTTTGTGAGAGAAGAATGTAATGATTATGGATTTGATGTGATGTTTTATTTTTTGTGGCTAAAATAGTCTATTTTGTCTTTTGTAGCTAAAATAGCCAAAAAAAACCCGAAAAAGCCCTTCCCAAACGGACCCTAAACCAAACCGCATATACATGCATAATATGTTGTATTATTGAAGAATACAATGTATAACTTTTATCCATGTATTCTTGAAATTTAAAACAATAATTCAAGGTCACCTAACTTTTGGCAGTAAAAAGCAGTATTTACTTCAAAGGTCATATTTGGCAATTGATTCAATTAGTTAAAAAATAATAATAATAATATAAAAAGTCAATTCATTCTTTTTATTTTTTACATATCTTTTTTGAAAAAATTAAAAAAATTAATTCCCAAAACAAACCTAAGAATCCAGATGGACCACTCTGAGACTAATGAATTTTAAGGCCAGCCCACTGCAGAGAGGCTTTCTATTACTGGTCTTAATGGTAGGATTTAAGATAAGATTATAAATGAATTACATAGAGATGAATAATAAATTATTTAAATTTAATTTAAAAATCTAAGGACCTTCAAAATTAATTTAAGTTTGATTTTTATTTTTATTTTTATTTTCTTTTCAGTCAATCTTTAATGAGTGATTTGTTTATTTTTTCAATCGATCTTAAATGAGTTTTTAATCAAGTTACAAATCAAACTCGAATAAATTTTTTCTTTATCATACAATTAACCAAGTTAAAAATTTTAGTTAATTTAAAATATATGTATATATATACACAAGTTTCAAACGAGTTACACTCACAGTTTGATTTGTTTCACATCCACAATAAAAAAGCGTACTTATAAAAAGCGTACAATAAAAAAACGTACTTATAAAATTTCATTTAAAAATATTTCAAAATTTTACTTTTAAAATATGTTTATTTTTAAAATATTTTAGTACATTTTAAAAGCGTATATTTTGCTGAAAAAATATTTTTTGAGTACGTTTTCACTGTGCATATTTTTTTAAAATGTACAATTCTTTATACGTGATGTACGTTTTAAAAGCGTACATTTTGCATATTTTTAAAATGGTTTAAAATGTACAATTCTTTAAAAATGTACATTTTGCTGAAAAATTGAAAAATGTACTAAAATATTTTAAAAGCATACATTTTTCAATTTTTTAAAATATTTTAAAAATAAACATATTTTAAAAGTAATGGGTAATAATAAAAATAAACAATTTATTAAAAATAAAAAAAAGTAGTATACGTGCGATGTGATGATAGTATAATACGTCTAAGTGAGTATACTATTTATACATGTGATGTGATGGTAGTATAAATAGTATACTACTTTATATAATTCATTAAAAATAAATAAATTGTTTATTTAATTTTTTAAATAAATAAATTGTTTATTTTTAATTTTTTAAAATATTTAACCAAACAAACATTTTTTTTTTTTGGATAAAAAAATTGCATAATAAATATATAAAATATAGAGTGAGTGGAAGGAAAAAAAAAAGTTGAATTTCATTTTAAATAGCAATTGTTTGGAGTTGGTGTGCATGTGGTTTGAACCTATGCAGAGGTGTGGCAAAACCAATGCACTATCATTTGAGTTGCAGAGAACTCAATATTAATTTTGATTACATTTTAATATATTTTAAACGTTTTCTGAAGGGGAGATACATGCATAGTGAAAGCGCTTTTTGTAATGGCGTTTTTTTGAAAACGCTTTTTGTAATAACGTTTTCTTAATTAAAAGAACTTTTTGTAATAGCGCTTTCACTATTCATCAAATTTTCTGCTTCAAACAGTAAAAGCGCGATTTGTAATAGTGCTTTAACTTAGTTTGAGAAGGAAAATATCTCGTAGCTCAAATTTTGTGGCTCAAAAGTGGTTCAAATGGCCAAAACGAAGCACCAAATTTTGTAATGACGTCGTTTTGACCATTTGAGCCACTTTTGAGCCACAAAATTTGAGCTACGTAGCATTGTCGGTTTGAAAAATCCGTCCAGACTAGACCTAATTTGAAAATTAAGATAGAAATTTGGCTCAATATGGGAAAAGGCTCGAATAAAGGCGGGACAAATTGTAATCCCTATGAGAGGAAGTAATTTTCCCTGCCAAGTCCTTTTATCTCAATTTTCTTCTCTTTTCTTTTCTCTTCGCAAAGAAAATTTTCAAATTGAATATTTGTAGATATTTTCATAGGAACAACCTACTAAAGCAAACCAAGAAGAAGCTGGAAATAAATCATAGGTCACAATATCACATGCAACAATTTATCTCTCTCTCTCTCTCTCTTAAGAAATCTAAAATTTAATACAGAAATTGATGGGAAAATTCCATTACAACAAAAACAAGGGCAAATAGCACTGCTAACATTCCAAGAAATGAAATTAGCGAACACAGAAAATTTCTCCGCAGTCCAGACACTACTGTGCACGTATTGTGTGACACTCTCAACCAATAAGGCAATGCCAAAAAAGGTTGGATTAAACTGACCTTATCTCTCAACTAACCAACAAAAGTGAGTCGGTTCAACTCCACCCTTGATTACTACTCTTATTGGTCTGAGGGCACCATATCACGTATTGTGTGACACTCTCAACCAATAAGGCAATGCCAAAAAGAGTTGAATTAAACCGACTTTATCTCTCACCTAACCAACAAAAGTCGGTTCAACTCCACCTTTGATTACTACTCTTAGGCCATGTTTGTTTGGGTGGACATGAGTTTGAGATTGGACTAATAGTTCAATAAAATTATTAATCCGATGTTTGGTTAAACAATTGAAGTAGGGATTAATTATTTTAAACTTGACTATTAGTTAAGATAGGATACATAATCCAACGAATTGGTTGTCTTAGGACTATTAGTCATAAGAATGCTAATCCAGTCCGTCCAAACAAACATGACCTTACTGGTTTGAGAGCACTATATCAGCATATTGGTTGGTACTAAGAGACACGACAGGGGTTTACATGGCTACACATTATCCTCTATCCTTACTAAAAGTAATTGGGAAGTGAATTCCTTGCAAATCTTCCGAACCATGGCAAAGCCACAAAGCAACCCATCCAAACATGCATATCATTTCAAAAGAAACTACCAGGAAAAATATACTCACAAAAAAAAATGAAGTAAAAAGGAAGAAATTGGGTACAGATAATAGGAATGGAAAAATAAGCATTTTAAGGATGCAAAATAAGTCGTAATATGAAAATTTTTTCATCAAAAAAACCTACTTAAATACCAAAAGTTGAACGGTTGAACATTAACGCTCATTCTTTGAACAGTAAATACTGCTTTCGCTTGCCTAATCTTTCCTCATCAGCTTGAACTTTTCTTTCAGGACGGTCAAAATTGGTCCTCTGATTGGTATATAATAACACGCTTCCCAATGAATTAATGCATGCGTAACATCCAGAATTGTGATTTATTGAAATCTTGCAGATGAAATTTACAGCAGCATCAGCTGATGATCATCTTGTTAAGGAATTCAGCTTGGTCGGGAAAGTACTCCAGCAGTTCATCCTTGGTCACCCAAACGAAATCATCACACTTCCCAATCTTGAACTTGTTGGTTGCAATCACTTGAGATTTAAAGAAGAACCGCTGGCAAAATGAGCAGAATTAAATAAGGAAATTAATAGACAACATAGCTTTTTCAATATTCAGCATGAAAGCAAAAGCCAATGTATGGTTGTGTTATTGTTCTGTCTTCATTTTTGAAAAGCACAAAAAAAATTGTTTGACAAACTAATCTAGGGAAAAAAAAATGAAAACAAACCACTTTTTAGGACTCATTTGGAAACATTTTGGGCATTTAGTAACATTGTCAGTTTCCTGTTTGATGTTTACATAAAACACGAAGCATGTTTTTTATTTTTTATTTTTAATAAAAACAAAAAACTTGTTTACGGCACAAATATTTTTAAAAAATATAAAAAATAAAAAAAACAAGAAAACATGCTTGGTGAGTTGTCAGAGTGGCTGGCAGTAAAGCATAACCGGATGTGTTTGCTGAGGGGTGGCAGAAGGTGGGAGTCGGACGGATGTTGGAGGTCATGGAAGGGTGGAAGGAGGTGGTAAATGGCAGTGCTGGCCTGGTGGTGGGTGGTTGACGAAGATGGTGGTAAAGGGAGAAGTGAAGACTTGTTTTGAAAACAAAGCAAACAGCATATTTTATATTCCAAAATTTGCTACTTTTTTTAAAACAACAGCAATCACCAAACACCTTTTTTTGTTTCCAATTTCCAATTTTCTTAGGAAACGGAAAAGGTGCCAAACGAGACTAAGAAACACAGGTTTTAAAATTTTTGAAAACTATTTTCACACAAAAATGAAAACAATATGAAAGCATAGATGTTTTTGAACTATTCATTATTTTTGTTTCCGAAAACACAAAAAACAAAAACAAGACATGAAAACAAAGTAAACGAGAAAACAACCAAATACACCTAAGCTTCTAACAGAATGACAAACAATTATACGGTCCAGATTATTTGCATGTAACAAACAGAACATAATGGAGAAAGCTATCAAAAATAAGGATAACAATATTATACACATAACACATTGCCTAAAACCTGTATACAGTGAAAAAGCTGGTGCTGTCTATACCTTACACGATGGAAGATCCAATCCATTCTCTGTAGGCTGTGTCACCACCATATGGCCCATTGGAGCATTTCCGACAAAATATGTGTGGGAAAGGTCACCTATGACAGATTCTAATGCAGACTCCGCACACTGCAAGCATTAATTATCCATAAATTGAAGGAAGGAAAACGAGGACATGAGTTGGAAGTATAGAGCAACTATCACCTTACGCAATGTCTCTTCAGACTCGTGAATTTTTTCTGGAAAATGCCACACTGGTGTCCCATTTGGAGCCCCATATGCCTTACCATAGATGAGAAGATAAAGCCTTCTGTCAAGCGCTCTCTGTAATGACCTTTGAGAAATGAAGATGAAAAATTTCACTCACTAACAAAGCATTGAAGTCTGAAGAGAGTACAAAAAAATAGTCTTGATGAATACTAAGAAATGTCATTTATAAACTAAGTTCAACTACAGTGTAGATAAAGAGGACTAGATAAATTCACTACAGTGCAGATGTTTAGAAATCCACAACACAGTTACTCAAATTTACTATTTCTTGTAGGAGAATTTGATGGTACACACAGTGACAGTGTTTTAAAAGGCACGCTTAGGATGCCTAAGTGTGAGGCATAACCTTGCACTTCGAACAGGTCGAGGCGAGGCACAATATGCAAGGCGCAGCTTAGGTACTGAGGCGAGGGCTTTTGTTCGAGGCGCAAGGCGTGGGCTGCGTGTTTATACTCCAACTGTTGATTAAGTGGTTTTTTGTAGGCATACCCACAAAGAATCAAAACTTTTCAATATATAATGACCAAACGTGGTCAAAAGAGAGCAAAAAGTGATAATAAAAGTTTTAAAAAAAAATTAAAAAAAAAAAAAAAAACCTAGATGGAGAAGATTAAAAAAAAGGATCAGAAAGTGAGAAGACAACACGATTTCGACTTCTTCTTCAAGTTCTTCTCTTCTTCGCTGGTTCTCTTCTTCGATGGGTTCTCTTGGTTAAGCTATCTCTCTACTGTTTTATCTTCCTTTATTTTTCTTCTCTTCTTCTTTCTTATTTTCCTCTTCTCTTCTTCGATGGGTTCTCTTCGTTGGGTCTGCCTCCGTTTTTTCTTTCTTTATTTTTCTTATTTTCTTTTGTTCTTATTTTATTATTCTCATGCTTCTTCGCTGGGTTGTCTCTCTATTTTCCTTTCTCTATTATGCTTGTGAAGTTGTGATGGAGATGAAGTTCTTCATGATGGTGATGTCTACTATTAAGTTTTGAGTAGAATGCAACCATAGAACTTTTTTTTTTTAATCTCTTTTTTGAACTGCAAACTAGAAGCTTAGTTGTTTTGAACTTTACGTAGATGATCTTAAAACTTGAGTTTTTTGGTGGATGTGAATGTGATACTTCATATCTTTGGTTGGATTTATATTTCTAGTTTTAGAAGATTGAATGTTATATTTATCAATTATTTGAAATGGTAAAGCTTACTTTATGATTTTTGAAATTCTATATATATTTGTTATGTTAAAAAATTTGCCTAATTTATAATTTTGTTTTTCTTCTACTACTTGCACCTCACCTCGCGCCTCGCGCTTAGGCTATGGGGACCTTATCGCCTCGGTGCGCCTAGAGCTTTTTAAACACTGGGTACACACGCTCTCATTTTTAGGGTGTGTACCATACACCCAGTTGTACCCCTAGTGGTCTTTAGTTATGACTGTAGTGGTGTTTTGTTACACCACATTGTGGTTTAAAGTAGTAGTGGGGCCTCTTATGTGTCAAATCAAAATGGATTATGAACTAGTCGTCGTTTGGTTATGATCCATATTGGTTGTTTTTTGTTATTAACCTAGTGGTGTTTACGTATGACCCGCAGTGGTGGTGTTAGTTATGAATCAAATTAATGGTTCAGATTCATTTATTACTGTACTAACAGCTAAAAGTGGTGCATATGATATGCACCTTTTTAAGGGTGTGTACAGTAGCCACTCTCCGTTTGTTGTATACTGTGAATGTCTGTTAATATAAAAGCCATCTAGTAAAACCATGGGACTCAGATGTGATATAATATGCCAACGACTGTCACAGGGTAAGGCTACTGTCATGACACACCACATCCCATGCATAAGTAAACGAAGTTCATAGTTATAAATGCCATCTTGCTAAAAAAATCTACAACTGTTCATTACCAAGGCTACGTCAAAGAACTCAGCCTTGCACTGCAAATACAAAGCCCAATTAAACAGGGTTGTGTCAGGAATAAAATCAACATAAGGTCTTTTGTCAATAGTCAACCTCCAATCTACAATATAAATCTTATCAGGCCATGTGAAATTGCACTGGGGAAGCAACTAGAGTCTTAATTGTGAAACACCAACAAAAAAATAGTAGTCTGTCTAAATAGTTAACATAGAAAGAAAAGATATATTAAAATTTAAAAACAAAAACAAGATCAAATTGACAACTCACAGACAACCAAATTTTAGTGTCCAATAATCAATCAAATTTCACCAATTCCAGAAGAAGTAGGAGGTCATTATTGTATCAATCTAAGAACTCTAGTCTATAACCCTTAAGACGCCAAAACACATAGCGAAGATGAATAAGAAGACTCAAGCGATTACGAAGATAATGGTGTTGGTGTGGTGTTTATGAAAGACCATGTCCTCTTCAAATTGAACTGAAAGGGTGCTTAAAGCTTAAGACGTAAAATTTGCTTAATTAGCAAAGCATCCTTTCTCCTAACCAAAACCAACACGGCCATCCCCAAATATTAAAATGAAGAAACGGTGCATGTACATCAAAAAATTTGATTGTACCTTCTATCATTAGTTTTGTCAGCCTCAGTGACCCGAGGAGCAGGTACATAATCAATTTGGTAATCACCCGTTCCCCTGGTTGCAACATAAGAGATGTTATACAACAATACTAATCCAAAAACAATATATAGATGTCATACAATAATAGTTGAATGAATGACATCTAAAATTCTCAAATTTACATTTGTCTTTCACACACATGTATGAGCGAGTCTTGCATTCACAATACCTGGATTCTTTTTTTTTGCACTAATTAACAATTACAGGTCACCCTTTCTAACACTGTCATCATAAGCATCCTTGAACAGACCATCTCTATTACAATCCTAGAACAATATTACATATTGGAGACCTAACAATGAAAAACAATTTCTTTTGTCCATAAAATATTTCCTTTTGATATCATGACGAAACAAAAATTAATCAAGCTATAAGCATATACATATCTACATGTGTGTGTATATATTGGAGAAGAAAACTACAATTTCACTGACTTTTTGAAAGATTTAAATGAAATAGAAATAGAATTGCTCTGCTGATATAAAATACCAAAAGATTCAGAGAATCACTGATGTATAATACCAAAATATACCAATGCAAACTTTTAACTTTTAAAAAAAAAAAAATGTAGATAATGAAGAAATCAAAAGGATTTCATAAATTTATGACTTGCTTCTCAATAGATACTCATCAAAAGCAACAAATGTATCTACAGATTAATGTTATATTCTTCAAATTCAATAAAATTTATCTTACTGAAATCAGACCTAAGGAAAACTGATGGCAGAGGAAACAATCTGATAGCAAAAGCATCAGCGAGGAAATCAATTATTGTAACAAAGTTTACCTAGCATCAGATTTTTTCAAGAAGTCATCAGGATATGCCCGCCGATATTGTTGTCTCCACCGGAACCTAAATGCATCCAAACAAATTCATAAATTAGAAAGTTCCAAAAAATAATAATAATAATTCACCTATTTTAATACACTAAAAAAAAGAAAAACAACAATAACAAATCATAAATGTAGTACTATCAACCAAAGCAACTGAAAATTGCAATCTTACTTCTGCTTTAACCCTAAGTTTGGCAGCCCAACAACTAACATGGGAAAATGAAAAGAAAATTTTCTCTACATCACATTTTCTGTCATTTCAGGTATTCAAAAATAATAGAATTCAAATCAACTTAAGCTCAATTGAGTGTTGCCCAAAACCCAGATTCCAATCCAAAATTTTTACCAAACCGTCTCTTTGTTAGCTGAGGAAACGATGGTAAAAAAAAAAATTACAAGAAATTGAAACCCGGCAATCATAGTATTCTGTTGTTTGAATAGAAAACTTGTCGGACAGGAATTTTGAAACATTTTCTGAGTAACCAAAAAAAAAAATTAAGGAAATGGTAACTTACGAGAATTCTTGAAATGCATAGACGATGGGATCGATTTTGGGAACAACAACAGGGAGTCTCTCGAAGAGGACAGAGGCCACGATTTTATCAGTGTTTGGTGTTGTGCAAAACCCTCTCGTCTCTCCAAGAGATCGAACCAACGTTGTTCGAAATCTCTGCATTTTTCGAATCTAAGCAAAGCCAAATCTGTACATAGATAGATAGATGTAAGTTAATAACCGAATACAGAGAGACAGAGAGTACCTGAAGATGAAAGAGAGATCAGTGATAGGGTTTAGCAGTCACCAGCTTTGAACAACAGACAGAATGGCCTTTTTTTTGGTTTGTTTTTGAGAAAAAATTTCAGGAATGTGAAAATAAATATTTTAAAATTTTAAAAAATTATTTTTATCTCTTAAAATATAAAACTATATAAAAACGATAAGCGTTTTTGATTTTTTTATTTTTTTTAATAAGTTAATTTTTAATTTTTTTCTTTTTTTTAAAAAAAATTAAGTTTTGGAAAACAAACCAAACATTGGCCTCGTTTGGGAAGTGGTTATTTTAGTTGGCTATTTTAATTTTTGACTATTTTAGTAGGTTAAAATTTTTGTGTTTGGAAAGATGATTGAATTTTTTTGTGATTGGATGTGATGTTTGTGAGAGAAAAAGTGAAATGATTATGGATTTGATGTGATATTTTGTCTTATTAACTATTTTAGCCTATTTTATCTTTTTATGATTTTTAACCTAAACTAAGCTATTTTTTTTCTTCCCAAACACCCCTATTGTTTTCTTCCTGAAACTAGACTTGTCGGTTTCAAGTGATGACCCGGTGCTCTATTTGACCCGCCCGCTATCACAAGATATAGATGGCTCAATTGTTGACCCACAAAAATCAATTTTTAGCGAATAATGTTATTATTTATGTTTGGCTAATTAAAATTTATTTTTTTAAATTCAATTCGGTGAATTTTTATGTACTATAAAAAAATAAAACTCAACTTTTAACACAATTATAAATTTTCAAGCTAATTTTCAGTACATATTACTTGGCTTTATTGCCCAATCAATTTCCATATATATTGATAATAAATAAATAACTGAGGAGATAAATAAATGCAGTTGCTAAATTTCTCTTTACACTCTCTTGGACAAGTGTTTCTTCTGAAGAGAAAACTTAAAATTTATGTATTTAGAAATTTGGAGTAAGTTTATCAATTTATTTACTTCAATCAGATTAATTTTGTTCATAACCAGAATCAACAATACTTTTGTAGATGCATTCCCATCTCCTTTTTGCCCCAACTAGCAACCAAAGTGAGCATTCATATTGGGAACTGGAGGTGGAGTAAAGGTATATCAAAGGCTAAAGCCGGTAGCAATGCTCCCGAACCTGGATATGTAAGACTGTTTCTGCGGCCGAACCATCTGATTGATTCCAAATCCTTGTAGGAAAAGGAAATTGAAAATAACCTCATTTGCTGCATTATAATGCACAACACAATGATTCATCCTAATCAGGTAAACAAAGAGCCTCATTGAACTGTAACATGTCAAGAGCTCAAAACAATAAAATGAACATTTCTATGCAAAGAATGTAAATATCAAGGTGGTATTATTGTTGGAGAATAGATGGTGGAGAGAAAAAATGAAGTGGATGAAAACTTAAACCAACATCAAAATAAAGGCTTCTTTCCATTTAACATTCCCATCAAATGATCGAAAACTTGACCACCGCCATCACGCAGACCGGAATGCATGTATTCGTTAGTAATCCACAGCCTAATCCCTGCGATTTGATCAGCCGTCTCCATGACCAGCTTGAAGTTAACATACATATCTTCATAATAAACAGCAGCTGCAACAGGTACCTGTCATCATTTTAGGGGAAAATATCAATAAACCAACAAATGAAACCTTGTGGATGGATTGGATGATCATAAAATCAGATTCAGAACAACGGGTTTCTACCCATAATTCGACATTCAAACCAAGTGCACTGTTACTACTACTTTCATCATTATTGCCAAAAGCACAAAGAATTTCACAGTACGTTTGGTAGCGAGCTTAAAACTAATGTGCTAGTGGTAGTGGTGATGGTGGTGGCAGTGGTGACTGGTAGTGGTCGAGTGGTAAGAGTAAGGTTGCGTTTGGTAGAGTTTTGTAATTATAATTTGTGAGTGTGAGTTGTATTTTGAGTTTGTGAGATTTGAAATTATGATTTGAGTGTGAAAATTTTGTTTGGTAAAGAGTTTTGAAAATAGTTTTGATTTAAATGGGGAATTGTTGATGTGACATTTGATATTTGATACAAAAATTTACGACTCATAACCAAACATACAACTCAAAATTATTTTAAAGCACATAAAAAAATTTTAAAAATTCAGAAAATGTTTTTTTCGATTATATAAAAATTAACATATCAATTGCAAAAAAAAAAAAAAAAAAATCACTATTCCAGCCAACCGGCCAGACGACCGGTTAGGCAAAATTTGCAAAAAAAAAATTTCGAAAACCGTGCCTGAGACAAAGTTCTCTGCAGAGTTTTGGAAAACTGATTCCAAAACTCCTACCAAACATGATATTCAAATATAGGTGTAGAATTATGTTTTCAAAACACAACCAAACGGAGCCTAAGACTTTAATCCAAAAAACGTTTTCCACCTTTTAAAAGTGAAAAACATTTTCTGCTTAAATAAGTTTGTTTACAGTTGATCACAAAAAACATTTTCCATTAACTTTCGTTTTCTGCTTTCAAACACCAGAAAAAAGGAAACAAACGGTGAGTCAATAGCATTGAAGCTTCCAACAATCAAAGGATCTATACTGCTAATGGGAATTTGGCATGTATTACAACCTTTAATCCTAATTTTTTTTCACAAATAGCACCAGAAGCTAATTTCTACACAGATGTTTCCCTCACAGGAAAGTATCCAAACAAGATAGTGAACACTGTAGACACTCGAAAACTGTAAAATTTCTGCTTTAAAATTTTAACATAAATATAACTCAAATTTCAATATAGAAACCACAACACAAAGGCAGCAAACCTTATTATTATTTAGTGAAGCAATGTCATAAAGTGGAGGCCAATCCTCCTTTTCTGCTAGTAAACGAGCAGCATCTTTGAAATGCCTCAATGCATAGATTTCTTCAAACATCCAAGGAAATATCATCTGCAGAGGCAAACAAAGACCCAAAGTTAAACCTATTCAGGCACCTAATAATGCAAGCAGAGGTTTGAAATTGACGGATATTGGCCTTGAATTAACTTTGGCAGTTCTTAGGCCATGCTCAGTGATAATATCAGTAAAATCAAATTACACAAATGAATAAATCCTAAGACAGCAAAGATCTCTTGTAAATGCAATACAATTATCATGCACATTGTTACTTTCCCGACCTCGCCTGTGAACAATATAGGGCGACCTTCTTTTGCAGCTTTAATTGCGTCAAATTTACCCCCATCTTCATCCCTTATTCTTTTAGCAGACCATCGTGATGAAGTACCCTTCAAGTTGAAAGCAGTGAGGGAATCAGAGAGTTTCAAGAATATTTAGACAGACACATTTATAAAATTATGTTCATACATAATAAATCACAGAAGCATGAGATGAAATATGTCCAGTGACTGTGCATTTGTTGCTAAAACAAAATGAAAAACCTTACCTGACAGTATATGGACTCATGTAGAATAGCATAGAGTGGATTTGTATCAAAACCTGACCACTTCTCAAACTGCACATTTATGGAGGCATGGTGTCAGTAAATTAGGGGTGTCAAGCTGCTAAATGCCCTGAAACTATACAAAAATAATCTCAAGCAATCACTACTACATGTGCCATAAAATGTTGAGTAGAAAGCATATATGCTTAACATTCCGAGATAGTTTGAAAAACTTGTGCTAAGTACCCCTGCACAAACGCATATGCACAACGGGGTGTATGAGGATTTGTCGCAGATATCTACTGAGAATAATTTGAAAACAATCAAGATTTGATCTTGGTTTTATAGGAGTAGTGACCTTTATGTGGTGAAATTTTTTAAATATCATTATAAATGGAAATGTTTCAGAATATCCAACAAGGTTAGAAGTTTTTACTGTGATTTGATTGTGATCATGAACAATAAGAAAGTAGCGTTTTTCTTACAGCATTCAAGAAGTAGTAACTAATTTGCTTTTTTGCTCCTGGAGCTATTACAGGATCCCAGACCCTCTCAAACCTACAAGTGTTGGTAAAGAAAATGATCAACTTGGAGAACACTAAATTACTAAACACTAGATGGGTATGCATGATAACTTACATGTAATGCAAGCGCTCAAAACCAGAAATAGATCCTAAACCAGAAAGACCAAGAATTTGCAGTCCCCTTGGGGTTAAGATGCCACCAGATGGAAGAGGCACCTGTGCCATAGAGAGAGATGGTCGGCATAAGAAAAAAACACCAAGATGATTTTTGCTAAAAATTCACTCACCCCGCCTCCTTCATGCTCAGCCAAGTGGTTTACAACTTCACGAACAATTTCAATATCCTGACGAAACCTCTTATAATACTTGTCATTCTGATGAATAATCCGTTCAAAGCAAGCTCTGTACACACCATCTGCACTGCATCCACTTCCAACCGGAGGGATTCCACCAGTTAGAAGGACTTGTTTCAGTCCTTGTGGTGCAAAACTCAAATAAGTAACGGCACAAAAACCACCAAAGCTCTACACAAGGAGACGAATGAACTATCAATAATATGGACAGTAACATCAGCCAACGCAGAGAGTCATGACAAAGAAGTAGGTCACATAGAGAAGATGCAAAGTAGCCTAACCCAACTTTATATGCAATAAATATTAAGCATACTCACAAGCACACAAACAGAATAGTAGCCTTAATACCTGCCCCAAAACTGTCCAAGTTCCAGCATCAGGAACAAGACGTTTTCGAATAAATTCAGCATCATTCACTATGTTGTCGGCTCGGAAATGTTTTAAGTAGTCAGCCAAATCTTCTGCAGACTTCAATTGCAACATAGATGATGGTGTTAAAGGAGTTGATAAGCCTGTTCCTCTCTGCAGGAAGAAAGGAAAAAAAAAAAAAAGAGTGATAGGAGGCCAAAATAGGAGGTCGTGATATTGAATTTTCTACAAGAGCTTGTGCAAAAGGAATATATGTATATATATAATAATATAACAAACAAAGAACACTTAAAACATGCCTGATCCATCAATACAACATGGTATTCTTCGCATGCTTTACCTATCCATCCACTAGCTTCAGTTGGTCTAGGGCACTCAAAACCTGGTCCACCTTGCAAGAATAATAGATATGGCATGGTTTGTTCTTCCTTACCAACTGCAACAGACAGTTTTAATCTGTAAGAGGAAATCTGACATTGACAAAAGCTACAGAGATGGTTGAAAAGAAAAATATATATATTTGATGTCGTCTTTCATGTTGGAAGAAGGATGTACAGTATTTTGCTTTTTGATTTTGGGTCTAAAGGATGTACATATAAAACCCCATACGAGAAGAATACACAAACTGATGAGTTTCCATTACGTGAGTATAACTTTAAACGAGAAACAGTTAATCTAATTATCTCCACCACCAGACTCAAATTTGAGTGAGAGATGCTAAGGTAGAGTTTGGTTTACTAAAATAAACAAGAAACATAATGGAATGATCATAACCATTCATTTGCAATGATAAATAATGATTCAATTTGATATGTGGAGTTAATTTCACTTTTGTTCTCTAAACTACTACTCTTTTTTTCTTTTCTTTTTTCTTTTTCTTTTTCTATTTTATCTCTAAATTATCAATTTTATCTATTTAGTCCTTAAAATTTCTAATTTTTGCTCATGTAGTCCAACTGGTGACAATTATACAAATCAATAACCATTGAAGCCTAATTTGATGTGCGAAAAAGGTAATTTTATAATTTGGACTACTTAAATCATACAACCAAACACCTATTAAAGTAGTTGCGGGGTGTAGTTTTTTCAAAACAGTATGAAAAATGAGTGCTGGATTGCATGGTTTAACTTCTTCAAATTCTGAAATAATCTTTTTCAATCAAATTGGTCTTTTAACGGTTATTTATTTATACAATTGTTTTCAATTGTACCACATAAGCACCACATGAATTGAAATGACTAAAGATATGAAATTAAGAAAAAAAATGGTGATAGCTTACAGGATAAAATAAAGTAAAACTAACCTTGATCTGTATTTTTTATTATTTTTTTTAGTAAAATCATTCCTTCTAATTTTATTCCAGTCAACCAAACAAGAAAAACGGTTTCTATCACCATCCAAACCCCAACCGAATGAGCATTGACCACAATAAACACACTCGAGTCCAAAACAGTTCATGAGAAACACTAAACTATTAGATTCAACCTAACACCACAGTTTCAAATAGAGTTGTCAATAGATCCAAACACTACTTAACCAACAAAAAACAGCAATCAACAGCGAATAAAGCAATCAACGCAATACCTGCGGCGACCTCGCGAGCGAAAACGGAGATCTTAGGGCAAGTACGGTGATCGAGAGAGTAGTCGAGAGGGACAGTGAAGTGATGGTCTCGAAGACGGAGCTCCGGCACGGAGTACCAGTTTCCGGCGTTGTGATCAGGCGAGGAATTGGCGGATTTCGTCTTGGCTCCTCCGTCCATGGCGGTCACAGTTGCGATGGAACTCCGGCGAGAGTATCCGAAGGAGAGAAGATTTCGAAGTGTAGTGCGTGAAATCGAGCGAGGAGTTAGGAGAGAGTAGCGACTGAGGAAGAGAGGTTTTATCAGAGATAATGGGGTTTGGGTGGCCCACATTTGGAGATTGTTGGTTGGTTCGGGTCCTTGAATGGGAACAAAATTAACAGGAAACCGGTTTCTATCCCAATTTTTTTTGTCAAATGATGATTCGTGTAGTCTTCAGAATTTTTTTATAATCCAACAATTAAGTATTACACTCGTACTCTGCATGATATCGCATAGATTTTTTTTGATCGGCAAATTTTTTTTTTAATTTTATTGATATAAGAATAAAATATAAAGTACAAAACAATCAGGCTCAATAAAGAGAGGCAAGTACAAAAATATCAAGATGAATTAAATCATACCAAACAACTTATTCTATCATTTACTAACATCTTGAAGTTGGTGAGCAACTAATCAAAGAAACAGAAGAGAAAAAAAAAAAAAGCATGGCAGGTCAACAAAACAGATCAACCACCTTCAGCCAGCATATCAATTCCATACAAAACCAAAAGTATCAAGAAGACCCAGCTACCATTCCAAAAACACAAGATTAGCAATGCTTCAATCCCTCAAAAACTAGACCTTACACAAGCTCAGCCATCATTTCTGCTACAAATTGTAAACCGGATCAGTCACAAAAGTTGGAGGAACAGAGCAACACAAAAAAAGATCAGCAAAAGCAAGCCCTAGCAGCAGCAGAATAGCAACATAGAAATCCAATCAACCAGTAAAAGCAAGATTAGATAACAGAACAATACATATAGGAAAACAAAGATCCATTCAACCAGCAATACCTCAGTAGCAGAACAGCACAAATCATATACCAGATAATAGTTTAGCAAAAACATATAATACCTCAATAACAGAACAACAGTAACAGATTATCCACTGACAGCACAACCCATATCAGACACTAGTCTCTATAACCAGACAAGCCCATCCAAATTAGACACTAACCTCAACAACCTAATACTAATACACACTCAAGCACCATACCTAAGGCAAAATTTGACCTACTGCAGTCTACAGATAATACACCAGATCATTCACAGAAGCTTCCACATGTAATGGCGAGGCCTTGACCCACAAAGCTACTCTAACTTTCACAATTTCACATAAAGCTTCAAAATCTGGTTAAGATCAATTGAAAACACACTCGTTTCTATGCCTCCATGTAGGCCAAAGAGTTGCCAAAAAGATGACCATCCAGATTTTCTTCTCCACTTTTGTCATTCTGCAACCATACCACCACTGCAACAGCCCATCTACGGAACCTGGCAAGACCCACTGAAAACCCCACCATCTTACAATGTTTGACCACAACCTCCAAACAAAAGGACAGAAAAGAAAGATATGTTCCACAGTTTCAACATCATTATGACATAAAACACATTCAAGATTAACACTCCCATCAAGTATACCAATTCTATGAAGAAAATATGAAGTTTTAACCTTACCAAGCCATGTCAACCACCCAAAAAATTGCACTTTAGGAGGAGCAAAATTATTCCATATAGAGCCTGCCATTGTCATAACAGGACAAAGAAGGGATTCACTCCATATATAAACTGATACTACACTAAACAGGCCAGAAGAATTTGCTGCTTATTTCAATTCATCTAGTTTATCAGTACAAATAGCTAGTGCACACCTAAGTAAACAAACTAACCTATGAACTTCCTCTTCTTCCTAGGCCAACAGATTTATTCTAAACTCTAGATTCCACTCATTAGCTGCACCCCTATTCTCAAAAAACACCCTTACCACCCATGCTTATCATTAGAGAGAGAGAATAGTTAAGGGAATTCCTCCTTAAGACATGCATTGCCAATCCACTTGTCCAACCAAAAATATGCTCTACGTCCATCCCCCAAAACTATCTGAGAGATATAAATATAGAAATTATACAAGTCGAGATTTAGCAGTACTACATTAAGAATATCAGTCCAGATCTTAGAACCTCTACCATCCAATGTTGGAAACCATTTCCCATTCTCAACATTATATTTTACACAGATCACTTCTTTTCAGAAAATGTGATTCTCAGCTCCAAACTGTAGGTCGACTTTTTGTGTCCCCTTTCGGAAGACGAATAAGCCCTACAGTATCGGACTCCCGCAGTTCTGAATCTAATCTCACAAGTGTAATGTGAAATAGATAAACACCAAAAAGTCCAAATCTAACAAATCTTTTGAAAAATCGATTTTGAATTAAATTGTCAAAAATGGATTGCTTTGCCAGATACAGAGTCGCCACCTAAATATTTTTGAAAAATTAAGGAAACCCACTTTGTCACGACCCAAACCCTCCCCTATAAGTTTAGCATCGTAACCGGCCAGTAATCATTGGATTACCAAAAGTCTCTAATCTGAATAACAAAATATAAAGGGTTGCGGAAGCAAATATACAAAATACAATGTCCATAGAGCTGTGTAGATATACATGGGACAAAAAATTTAAAACTTATATAATATATGTTGTCAAACTTCCATACGCCATGCATCATCATACAGATAGCATCATAAGGGACTTAGCCCAACGTACAGTTAGACAAAACAAAACAAAAACATCATTCACATGATTCACAAAACTTGACATCTTAGACGGGAACCTCCCCATGAGGCACGATAGCTGGCTGACCCAAAACTCTTCAAGCAGCAGCTTAGGCCTGGTCACGCGCTTGCTCACCTACATACATAATATAATTAGTGAGTGGAAGCCCAGTGAATAATAACAGGGTAAAGGATTTAACTGAATGATGTCCCACTTCAGATTCAAAAAACAAACTTTATATCAGAAACAGATTCATATTCATCTTCTTATTCAAATCATGTACAGAAATCAGAGTTCAAGCTTAGTCAAACCTGGTACATCAATTAGCACTAACAGATCAAATACAAAGCATAAAGGGTCATGCTTGACAGTTCTAACAAAAAGCCATCGGTACCAGGAACTTGTAACATACTTCAACCACAGTATTGTTACTCTTGGGCGAGGGCAATGAGACCACGGTATTCTTACCCCCGGACAAGGGCCTTGTGCTCACAGACCACCGTATTGTTATGTCACGACCCCAAACCGCCCCTAGTAGTTTGGTGCCGTGATGGCCAGTAATCCGTAATTACCGAAGGCCAACTTTTCAAAAACTTAACACAATCAGAGTATGGATATAGGGGGCTCACAAATGCGGAAGCAATGAATCAAACACAAGTGGTCCATAAGAAGGTGAGGGTTGTTACATGTTACCCTCCAAGTAAGGACCATATGCTAAAAATGCCACGAATACCTTTCAAAATATGGACAATCATTCATTGATATAGAACATAGCATTTCAGAAAATAAATCATTTCTTTTCATATCATATAGGAAAATACTTATATGTGAACATAGCTTTACAAAGTTATTGCTCACAAATGGCTCCAAAGCAGATAGATAGAGCAGATGAATCAGAAAACTTGCGGCGTGTGACCCACACAGATACAGAACGAATACGTACTAAATTTTACACCTGACCTTATTAACTCAGTTCTTTCTTATCTTGGTGTGTTTCTGCTTCTTATTCTAATTATTATGTCTTAATCATGGTCTAAGAATGCCTAGAATGCAATGTGGATACCAAAATGTACTTTGAAACACTCAATAAAATTTGCTGAAAACAGGGCCTTCGCTCAAGCAGTCTGCAAACTCTGTAAAAGTACTGGTTGTGTGATTTCTCTAATTGAGATCTTCGCTCTATCGCAATTCTTGCCGCTCGAGCAGTCTGCAAAAATTATAAGCTTTTGAGAGCATGCAATTTACACTCGAGCCAACTTTTGGTCGCTCGAACGGATGTGCAAAACACAGAGTGGTCTTTCGAGCGCAGGTTTTGTTACTCAAGCGGAGAGGCAGAATCTGGAATTTCCAAATTGCTCTTCCAAGTTCAAAACTCAAATATAAAGTTGCAAATCATGGTCTTTTGGGTCAAAAACTTGAGGGAACACTTGTAAACTGATAAAGCATGGTGAATTCAAAATCATTTCGCAAAATTTAGCACAAAAACTTTGTCAATTGTTCAAAACTCAAACTTGAAATTGTGAAAGCATATCATTACATATCATGCATGTAAAGATACAAGTTCAAAGCTTTCAAAACATGATCAAATGAGATAAATTGATGGGAAAACAAGATGAATTCTCAAAACTAAGGTAAAATGATAACATGCATGGGAGAATTCTTTGAAAACTTCATCAAGATGCTATGATAAATACATGCATGCATTGTATGATCTATATTCTTTCATTTTAGCTCAATTCTAGCATTACATAACTTAATTCTTTGGGTTCATGGGCTAAGTGATTCAATTTCAATGTTACAAGGTTGAATTCTTACCTAGAAACCTTAATTCCCTTGATTCCTAGCAAGTCTTGCTCAATACCACCAATTCCTTGAATTTCCAAGCTAAATCCTTTGTTTGAACTCAATTCTCTCTCTCTCTCTCTCTCTCTCTCTCCACATTTGAAGTCAAGAAGATGAGAAATGAGAGTGTGTAAACTGATCTAAGGCTTAACATTAGCCTTATATAGGCTCCATTAATTAATCTAGCTTAGCCTAATCAATTTGTAGTTAATTGATCTAATTATTTGATTCCGAATCGAATTTCAATTAAACCCACCATAAAATTTTACAAATTCCAAATAACACATATATCAGGTCAATTTCATGATCGGATGCCGATAAGACTTTTAATTCACAGAATAAAAGAGGAATACAAACAGATATTCCTACAGTAAACAAATATAAACACAAATAATGCAATGTACATGTAATTGACTTAGGATTTCATCTTAATTACTTATTAGGCACACTTAATCATGGCTTAATCATGGCTTAACAGTTAACATGGGTCGAGGTTGTTACACCATGACTCGTCGGTGTTAAAAATAGGAACTCAATTATCCACTCGTCAAAAACCAAGAACCAAGATTCAAGAATCAAGATGATCCTTCTTGGCCTCCTTGCTCGATGTTTGCCATCTATTCCTACTAAGTTCCCACAGATGGTGTCACAACCCAAATCCGCCCCCTATGGGTTTAGCACCGTAACCGACTAGTAATCCGTGATTACCAAAGGCCTGCTTAACAGTAAAGACAGTAATACAGAGTAAGGGGCTGACGGAAG